AATGCCGCTTTGCCTCTGGAGTGCTAGTATTAAAGGCATGTTTGGCATTTTGTATAGTTTTTTTGTCTGGAGCAGTTTTCTAGGCAGCCCTGGGGGTCAGTTCTGTGGTCCAGTTCCCCACTGTGTGTTGGCCTGTCACTTGACATGCCTCTGTTGACATCATTTTTTTTGTTTGTCCTTCCTTTCTCTTCCACTAGGAAATCTCTAACAGTACCCCTTAGTCAGTTGGTAACCCCTACCTTCTCCTGAGCCGCAGCCTGTGGGCATGGCAGTGTGTCTTCAGTGGCCAGGGCCACAGCCTTTTCCAGAGGGAGGCCTATCACCTGGCACCTGCTTCTCTGATGGGCCCAGGCCATTTAAGGTTCTGTTTGTAGCGGCTGACACACTGACCTCACTCTCAGAGCCAAGGTCTTTAAACAGCCCTCCTGAGGGGTGACATCACACCCTTCCTAAGGTCCCTGTACAGGGACCACGTGAAGACTTGATGTGTCATCCTGTGATCATCGGATATGGCTCCACTATCTTTGGTCTTTGCATCTCATGGTGCAAGCAGAGGCTTACCCTGGCCTCAGACTCACGGGGAGGGAAAGCCATTCTGCTGGGCTGTGTGGATCCTATAAGGGGATCTGTCCTGTTGTTCTCAGCCCAGGGGGGCCTTGTGTCTGAGGGTAGGGCCCCTGGAGAGCTACTGCACTTGAATCTACAGTACTGTCCTGGGCTATGGCGAGAGCATGTGTATGCACGTGCCAGGGGCCTTCACGTGGCATGAGGCCTGATCTCTGTGGTCTGTGCACAGGTACTGTGGAGTCGCCACCGTCATCCTCAGCAGCTGGTGCTGCACAGGACTCTGGTATCACCAGCCTCTGGGTACTCAGTCTCAGTGTTATCATCACAGCCATAGCTCAGCTGGAGAATGGTCTCCTGTCCCCAGCACAGAGCCATCAGTTGGGCCTGAGCAGGATGGTCCCTAGCAGGGACGTGGTAGCTTAGGGCTCAGATGGGGCTAGAATCCTGGTGAGGCACCTCGCTTGTGGGAGCCAGACAGGCCAGAAGGCTTGGGGCGCATTAGAGCAGTTGGGACACACAGCCAGTGGCTCACTGTCACTCTGGTGAGAGGCTCCATACAAGCCTGCTCCCCACCAGGCCTTTATGCCCCTTCCTGACACAGTGTTTAGTTTTTAACTGGTGAGGCTTTTGCTTATTTATTTTCATTGTTCTTGATAATAATTCTGAGCCATTAGAGGGGAAAATTATATTCAGAAACGCTATTTCTTGCTTTATTTGTTTGATGATTTAGAGCGATAGAGAGCAGCACATACGCTGGCTTTTATAGTCTGGTAATTATTCACATCCATCAGCCCTTCCGGGGGATAAACAGAACACCGCGGAAATTGCACTATTAATAGTGGCCTCCTCTGTGGGCGGGAGGCAGGCAGGAGGGCAGGAAGGGAGACTGGTGTGTCCGCTGAGGCCTCTTCATCCATTTGTACCAGGGGCTCAGCTGCTCAGTTCCACCCACGGAGCTGGAGACCCATGGCACCCTGAGGCCTTGGGATTCCCTGCCCCCCACTTGATACCTGTACTGTACCCTCAGGGCTGTGTGCCACGTGTCCCCCAGATGGCCCTGGACTGCTCAGCACCACTCAATGCAGTGAGCCTGCAGAGTTCATGCCGCCCCCACTCCCTCTCATGTTGGGGCACTTGGGGCTCCTGGTCCCCACTTTGCCCCAGACTGGCTTTACCCACAATGGCTCAGTCACTCTCCAGAGTCAGCCATAGTTGGTACAGACAGGGCTGAGTCACTGCTTGTGCCCTGGCATGAGTTTGTGGGTTCAGATTATGGTTTGGGGGAGGCAGAACTTGCCTTAAAGGTATGGAGCCAGGTCAGCTATCCTGTACTTCCTGGAGACCCCAGCTCTTGTTTCCTTCTAGAACCTTCTATCCAAACTCACCCTTGCCCTTCCTCAGGCTTTTTTTTCAGCATAGTGTCATGAGCACTAACTGGGGGAAAGTGGCTATAACCAGCACACCTTTCAGGACTGCATCTGGAGCAGTTCGCACTCCCCCAGAAGGTTCTGCTTCTCTGTTCCATACCTGGGTCTGTCTCCCAGGGGTCTCTCAGAACTCTCCCAGGGGTCTCTCAGAACCCTCCCCCCATATGCAGGCACAAAGCTGCTGTCTCCTGATGGCCAGTGTAGAGTATCCGGGTATGGTTGCCAGGGAGAACAAGTCCATGGAGAATGCTAGGACATGGCTGTCCCTGCTGCAGGTCTCCTGGAAGTACTTTATGGATAGCAAAGGCTTTAGAACATGGAGGCAGGTGCCAGGGTGCTATGGGGACCATTCAGAAGGATGCACCCTGCCTGATGGATAGGTCTCCGGCCTATGTGTCTCCTATGAAGAGCCAGCTAAATCTCAGACTCCCAGGGCCTTGAATGGTCTGCTTAGTGTCCAACTCAAAGGCTCCTTATAGCTCCTGAAGGGTCCTTCTGGACCCAGGTCACAGCCCAGGGTAGCCCACAGTGTCCACAGAGCCCAGCCTGCTGGAAGATTCTCTGCCACGCTGAAGCACCCAGGATGGCTTGGGACGGGTGGACTGGCTTGGTCCAGGTAGGTATAAGCTTCTCAGCTGTTAGTGGGGACAAGGGCATTCCTAGAGGAGCAGGGGCAAGGCACATAGGGCATGTGGGTGTGTGTGTGTGTGTGTGTGTGTGTGTGTGTGTGTGTGTGTGTATTTGTGTACATTGGTACAGGTGGGAGGGAGGAGATACGGTGGGGTTGCCAAGGTGGGCAATGTGCAAGCAGTGATGAGAGCTGACAGATGAGAGCCTAGATCAGTCGCAACAGTGGCTAGGACCAGTGTGGGTGCTGTCTATGCAGATGTAGTGCTGTCTTGGGCACAGCTGCTAGGGCATGGGATATTGATATTGTGGGGAGCTGGACTTTGTGGTAGGGGTGCCTGCCTGTGTTGCAGCTCCAAGATGGAGTCATGGTGCTGAGGTGACTCCTACTCTTCGGCAGGTTGCTGCCCAGTACAGCACAGCACAGTTGTAGCAGTGGGTATGGAGTCCACTGAGGCTCTGCTCTGGGAGCCCCACAGGATCTGTGGGAAGGTTGGCTCTGCACTTGACTGTGGCCACTCAGAGCTGTCCTTCAAAATGGACCTGGCTGCCCTGGCTTCTGCAGCCTCCTCCAGGCTCAGCGCTAGACTCTGCCTCAGTTTGGGAATCAAGGTGTTCATTGGCTGTGACCTGCAGCTGGGCACAGTTTTGGTGGCCTCATCTGGCTGCCGTGAAGCATAGTTTCCCAGCCCTGCTGCTCCCTGCCATCTGTCCACAAGCTTGTCTCCCCAAGGCCACCCTTCTGTACCCCTGGCCAGCGGCCTGCAGGCTGCACTTCCCGATAACACCAGGCGTATTCCAATGTATTAAACTTCCAGCAGCCGCCAGATTCAATTAATCTTATCTTTACAACTCCTAATTACAGGCACTAATTAAGTGGAAGGCACTGTGGACTGGGATGCCGCATTCATCATTGCGGCCAGAGCTGGGAATTGGTTCCTTCCAGGCCTCGGGTGGCTTCCCAGAAGCCTCTCCCCAACCCCCCACGGCTCCCAGAATCACGGTGCTTTGAGCTGTGAGGAACTCGGCATCACTGTGTGAGTGATAAAAGGCCTGGATGGAAACTTGACCTCAGCTTGTTCAGACATGGACATTCTGGAGTAACCCTGGAGCTGAGGGCATCTGGGTTTCCTCAGACAGAGTCCTGGGGGCACCTGAGAATTCCTTATTGTATCCTCTAGATGCAGCGACAGGACGGTGGCTGAGTCTCCCACCACCTTTGTATTTCATTGGAAAACTCATCAGTTCTTGGCTGTTATGGGCTTCCTCTGCCTTGGCTCCTGTGTCCTCTTGTGTCTGAGCCTTGAAGGGTGCTGAGCCATGCCCCAGCCTTCCTACTCCACTCCAGGAGCTCCCCCAGTGTGATAGCCACCATGTCCCGAGATGTAGCCTGTGCCTGGCCTTGAAGTTTTCCAGTGTGACTCACTACCTTAGCATTTGGTGGTGACAGCCTATCTGCTATCTGTGGGTGTGGACTGTGCTGGCTAGAGGTTCTCAGCTCTGATGTGTCTCCCTTCTCTCATAGGTACGCCATCCCACCGGAACACGGAAAGCGCCTGGAGCGCCTGGCCATAGGTAGGTATCTGAGCCCCAGTGGGACAGAGACAAAGATGAGAAGGGTAGATGGCCCATCCAGTTGAATCTCACTGTACCTGTCTCCTGGTCACATGACCAGCCTGCAGTCACCCTTCTGGGCCCTCTCCCTGGAGTGATGACAGAGCTTTGGGTACAGAGGTCAGTGGGAGTGCAGTTCAGTCTCACCAGTGACATGACCTCAGATGGGGGTGCTGTAAGCCTGTTGGCAGCTCTGCTCACCCACAGGCCATGCCTGGTTTTAATACTCGGTTTAGATTTGTAGTCCAGGCTGGTGGAGAACTCTCTATCCTCCTGTGAGTCTAGGAGGTGCTGGAACAACAGTGTGTACCACCATACCCAGCCGTCCTTTTCTCTCACCACGCTTTGATGCGTGGGATAGGGCCTATGGCCTGGAGCATGCTGGGTAGGCACTGTGTTGCTGAGATACTTATAGCTATGTTGTTGTTTTCTTTAGTTGGCTTTGTTTTTGTTTTTGGTTGTTTTGATTTCTGGTGTTTGGTTTTTCAAGACAGGGTTTCACTGGGTAGTCCTGGCTATCCTGGAACTCACTCTGTAGACCAGGCTAACCTCGAACTTAGAGATCCACCTGCTTCTGCCTCCTGAGTTCTGGGATTAAAGGTGTGTGCCACTATCACCCAACTTTTTGTTGTCTTTTTGAGACATGGTTTTGCTAAGTTGTCCAGGCTGGTTTTGAACTCACTTTGTAGCCCAGGCTAGCCTTGAACTCTAAATTCTGCCTCAACCTCCCAAGAACTGGGGTGACAGGCCCATGTCACCATGCCCATCTTACCTGTTCCTTCATCAGGCGTAAGTCTGTATGTGAGCACCTCAGGACACACACATTGAGAGGTGTGAGTCCTCACTACTGAAAGGTTTGTCTGTCCTCTGTCATCCCCACAGCAGCTCTGACTTAGGCCTCATCTTCTGTTAGCCAGGGCTGAGAGGGGACTGGTCACACTGTACAGTTAGGAAGGCTAACCTGGGTCCTGTGGGACCCATCCGGAAACCCACAGCTGCAAATGGAGCCCTCAACATCTCCCACAGCAGCGTTCACAGGGTGGACTTGAGTGTGACCCCTAAGGCAACACTGGACACTGCTTCCCAGTCCCACTGTGCCCAAGCATCACAACCTTGTTGGTTGTAAACAGCCTAGATGGCGCCTCTACAGCTTAGAGTCCTAAGACCATAGGCACAGCAGGATGTCCTGGGAGTTCTGCAAGACCCCGCATCCCTTGGCTCTCCACCCTTCTTTCTAGTCTAGTGCCAACAGTATAGCATCTCTCATGTTCTTTGCCTCTCCCCCTTTTGCCTCTCTCTGAGGGCTCATGAGGATCCTGGGCCTAAGGTGATCTAGGATGCTTCCGGCTCAGGGTCTTTCACTTCAGCCATCTGCAGAGTCTCTTCTGACCCTGGAAGTGATGCCACAGGTCCTGGGTGCGGTCCTTAGTGAGCTGATGCCACCCAAAAAACACAAAGCAGATGATTGTTCTTCACAGCAGCTCAGGGCCTGGGAACCAGTTCACAGTTGCTACCTGGACCCTGCTGACAGTGACGGTGTCTCCTGTCTGCATGTGAGGTGATTCAGTGAGCCAGGCTCAGTTGGTTCTTGCTCTGTCGCTTCCTCTGGGGACAGTGAGGCAAACCTCAGAATGATCAAATGCCAGGATCTCAGGGCCCTCCGTCCACCCCAGTAGCCACATCCCCATTCCATGGCCAACAGGAGATGTAGGTGGCAGCTTGCCTTTCCAGAAAGTGTGTTCAGAAGCTGGGGGAGAGGAGAGCCAGCTGCAGAATTTCAGTTCTGAGGCTCCAGAATGGCTGCTTCAAACGTCTGGTTTGTACAGCATGGCGGTGCACACCTTTAATCCCAGCACTCAGGAGGCAGAGGCAGGTGCATCTCTGTGAGTTTCAGGCCAGCCTGGACCACATAGTGAGATCCTGCCTCCAAAAGAAGAGCAAAGAACCAGCAGGGTGGGGCAGCTGCCTGGAACCAGAGGAAGGACTGAGTAGTCTGCCCAGGGGAGGGGGAGGGTGGGGACAGGACAGGGAGGCAGGATGCATGACACAGCAGTGTCTGCAGGAGGCCACATGCAGCTCCCTTACAGCTCTGGTCTTGGCACCCCTGAGACCTTTGGGCATGCGCCACTGATGCCACCCACAGCAGAGCTGGGTGGAGTGGGCTCATGGTTAGCACAGAAAATGAATAGTTGAGCCATAAATGGGCTTATGGGGAGAGGCGCCCACGGGAGAGCACTAATGTGGGGGCGCTAATCACTTCAGATGCGAGCCTTTATTAGGGTCCTAATGAGAGCCACTTAAGCGGTGCATTAAAAGGAGGACGTGACTGGCGGCAGCAGTCATAATTTTAATCAAGGCACTTTTAGCACCAAGGAAGGAAAGATGGGGACTCAACCCTCATCCCCTCTGGAGCGTGCTTTTCCAGCTCAGCCTCCTGTCAGCAACCAGGGCTTCCAGGCCTCACTTGCCTTGCACCTGTGCACGTGTGTATGAGTACACTCCCACACATGTGCTCTTGAAGCAGAGACTGACCAGGGACATGGAGGATGGGACACATGTTTGTGTGGGTGTCTGGAAAGTTCTCAGACGGAGGCTGTGGGTCAGCTCTGCCATCACACTCTGCTTTGCCCATAGCAGACTGACGTGGCCCCCCTTTGTGGGGTGGTATTGTGCAGTCATATTCTGAGGATGCACAGGCCAGTGTGTTGAGCAGCTAGTCTAGGGACTGGGTGTGCCCTGCCATAGTTGCCCTGTGTTGCCCATCTTGGCTAATGTAGAGCTGGTTCTGAGAGGCTATGGCCAAGCACCAGCCTACCCTGGGCTTCTGAAGGGACCTTCCCTCCACAGTGGGAACTGTGCATTTCACCTCAAGAAGCCCAAGGCCAGTATCCATGTTGGGATGTGGTTGAGCTTTGAGGCAGCCATCTTCTGCCTGGGGAAGCAAGGGGATCCCAGTGGGAACATAGGCTGTTCCCTGTCCTAAGGTCCATTGTGTGCTGGGCCTCACTTTTTCCTGTGAACTACTGAGGTGTTGGAGGACCTGGAGGCCACGCACACATAGCAGCTATACCTGTGTTGCCTCTTAGTGGTGACCTTGAGTTTTAGCTTTGTTCTGCTGAGCTTCCAGTATCCTCCAGGGGCGGGGCTGCTAAATGCTGTGAGCTCACATGCCCACCCATATGGTCCTGGGATTCTGGTTCCCAGAGGCTGTGTGCTCAGGTTCCTTAGTGACTATCCTGATGAACAGGGTGGACTCTCCTAAGAGCTTGTTGGAAAGGTGTCTGTTGGGCAGTCACATGAGTGGCAGCTGCTTCTGTCTTCTATGCTGCTGGGCAGTGATATGCAGTGATCCACTCCACTTGGCTAATGTAGAGCTAATGTAGAGCTTATGTAGAGCCCAGTGCTTTGGCACTGGTCTGAGACCTGTCTGAGGTCCCAGATCAGTGCCCAATCCCTAGGATGAGGGATCCTGTGTCCCGTCCCCCCCCCCCCATACTGACACCCATTCTGACACTGTTCTCCTCCACCCCAGGCTTCTTCCCCGGGAGCTCGCAGGGCTGCGATGCTTTCCTGAGGCACAAGATGACACTCATCTCGCCTATCATCCTGAAGAAGTATGGCATCCCCTTCAGCCGGGTATGTACAGGCCCCAGAGAAGGTTCTAGAATGGTGACCAACTGGTTTTGGTTCTTCTGCAGGAGAAGTACGTGGGGGCACCACAGGACAAGTGTGGGTTTGGTAGGGTCTTTGCTGTCTCCAAACCACATAGAACCCTGAGTGCAGGTCCCTTACTGCCCAGGCCACATCTGCTGTTAGCAGCTTACAGCCAACAAGGTAGCTGGCCACAGCTTAGCAATGAGTGGTTTAGTGTTCTTGAGCCCATATACTATGCTGCTGTAGAGGCTGTGATGGAGGAGGGCTGAGGCACCTGCTGGGGGACAGGTGCCAATGGACTTCCTACTCATGGTTCAACACGTTTGCAGACCTAGGACCTTAGGTTTCTTCAGGCAACATGGTTCACATACCAGTAGGGAAGGCCAGCCCAACTGGGTGTGTGTTGGCAGAGGAGTACAAGCCTGTGTGCCCTGGGGACCAGGCAGGGAGAGGGCCCTCAGGACAGCTGATTCTGAAGGTTTCTTTGAAGAGCAGTTTGTCAGCCCAGGAGCGAGTTCTGTGATGAGACCCCCTTGCTCCATGCTCATACAAGGTGTCAGCATGCTGGAAATTGCTCCTGACATTTCAATCAAGGCACCCGCAGCATCCGCTGTGTTCTTCCTGCTGGTGCAGCCCGGAGGCTGCTCCTGGCTCTGGCTCTGAGAAGCACAGATCGCACTGTTTGGTGGCAGCATTGTCGCTTGTGGAAGTGAGAAGTGTCTGCAACCAGCTTGCGGGGAATTTTTGTTCTACAGGCTGGTGGTTTATGCACAGGGACCCCTATGGACAGAGTAACTGCCTAGTCCTTTCCCCCTGGGCAGCACCATGGATTATACATATGGTGCGCAGCCCAAGGCAGCTGGCTTGCCTCCAGACTCACAGAGGCTGCTGACAGTGAGAGCCATGCTCCCCACACTGCTGTGCTGGGTGTCTGGCGCCTGACCTGCCTCAAAGGCTTGTGGGTGAAGGTCCTTGTCCAGCATCAGAAGGTAGCTGCCCACCTTGGGATTGGGCCTAAGGACAGAGCAACTGGCAAGAGATGAGTGTCCTCTTGCACATGAGGCGCGGGTCCCCTCATCAGAGTTCCTGCCACCCTTCAGTCGAGCAGCTGCACACTGCACTTGTGAGTCTGTAATGGTATTTACTTTTAGAAGGGAAAGCTGATCAATAGCCAGCTCATTAATAATTAAGAGTGTGTATTTCTGTAATCTGCCATTGACTTCCTCATCTGTCCTGTCGAAGCGTCCCCAGCTTTCTCCCTGACTGGCACTGGCCCTGGCTGCTGTGGCTGTGCTGCACAATCATCCATCTTCTAAAGCCTCCTAATGTATCCCTCTTGACAGCAGTGAAGGGGAAGGCAGCTACAGGGGCTCAGCAGCGTTGGGGACACAGTGGCTGTGACAGGAGCCTAGCTCTGTCACCCCCTGACAAGACTTTCTTGTGGTTGTGGTGTCTGTCCATGCCTGCATCCTTGCTGTTGGCCTCAGCATGGGTGGTATTCTCTATCCCAGAAGGCTCCCATTGTGTGCATACCGTGATGCTGGACAGCATGGAGAGGACCAGCAGACAGCCAGTGTCACCACTGCTGTCTGAAGAGACATTTGTTAAAACTGCAGACCTTCCTTCCCCTTGCCAACTTAGAGCTCAGGATGAAGTGGCTGATTCCCTGAGGTACTATGGCTGCCGGGACCCAGGGACACACCTGTCACAGTCCACCATCTTTCACTCTGCCATGAGGAGCTGTCACTTGGGCAGGAATTTTAAAACATAACTTAATGTAGTTGACTTCCCTTGATTGGTACAATTAATTATTTGAAAAGAAAAATACTGGTGAATTCTCCATGGCAGGCTGTGCTTTGGGCCATGTTGGTTTTATTTTTTATTTTTTTGACAAGTGGCTGGGGTTGCAAGTCAACAAACATAGTGTCCACTCTCCTCCTCAGAGTTGCCAACAGGAATCCAACAATGTTGTTGCAAGTCCCCCACCATAGTGTCCACTCTCCTCCTCAGAGTTGCCAACAGGAATCCAACAATGTGGACTTGGTGACCTGTGGGGCCACACCCATGCCTAGTGTGAGGGGCTGGGTGGGGAGTTAGAGTAGTGACCTTTGTGACTTGGAATGCTCAGAGAGAAGACACCTGACATCTTCTCGGTGTGGTCTGTGTCACAGTATGCCACTGTGGCAGGCACACCAGGTAGTGCCATCTAGCCAAGCCATCTGTGAAGGCTCAAAAGCCCTGAGCCAGTGAATATCCTGTGTGCTTGAGACAGGGTGACCAGGGTTGCAGAATGAGCCAGTCCCAGGAGCAGGGCCTCCACAGGGCTCTGGAACCTTCCTCCTCTGTTGGCACATGTCAAGCTCGGAATCCCACACACCT